AAACGTCAACTGCCGTGTTTGGAGGTTGTAACCTCCTCAGGTAAGTTGCAGGCGTCCGTTTAACCAGGGAGCCGCAATGGGGTTTTTATTGAGTTTTTTTTTTTTTTATTCTTTTAGTTTTTTTTTTTTTTTTTGGTTCCCTCCCCCTTTTTTCCTGTTCTCGTCGGTGGAGCAATGGGCGTTGTTGGAACGGGCACTGGGTGGTTGCTCTCCCAATGCACAAAAGATAAATCGTGTTGGATCTTTTCATGTTTTAGTGGAGGGTTCAATTCCCCCTTGTGGTTTGTTCTTTGAGGGAAGGGAAACGTTACGCCATTTCAACGGGGTTTGAACTTGGGTCTTTGTTTCAGAAGTTGCCAACTTGGAGGTAAGTTGGTTTTGTATTTTCCTTTTTCCTTCTTTTCTTACTTCTTTTATCTCTCAGTCCCATGTCTCGTGGTCGTTGAAGTTGGAGACGGGGAAAGGGGAGGGGAGAAGGCTGCAAAGGAGTTGCAACGTCGTTGCTGGGGAAAGGGGAAAAAAAAAGAAGGAAAAACGAGGCAACTATGCCTCACGATTCGGAAAACAGCCATTTTGGCCGTGAAAGCATAACAACTCGCACCCTCTTTTGTGTCAAATATTTTCAAACCGCCGGATCCTTGATCCTATGGCTCATGAACGTGTGGTTGGAGGGAAGTTGAGGAAAAGAGAGAACAAGGGAGTTGGGAGGAGGTCGTACTCCTCCCAACCTCCCAACTGCCCTCCCCGTTTTTAGGAGAGGGCAAAGCAAAAGAAGGGGTGTTGTTGGTTTCAATAGCATGCACCTGGCTAAGGTAAGGGCCGTGCGCATTATAGTTAGATTTATTTTTATTTTGGTTGTTTTTCTTTATACTGCATGCTCGTGAGGACACTTGCAAGAGGTAACTGTCAAGCTCCTGTTTTTAGGGGGAGCCAGAAAATTGAAGGTCATGAAGGAAAAGGCTATGTACAACCTTTTTCTCGACGTGTCTGCCCTGGGAAAAGGGGCTTGATACATCAAATTGTAAAGGGTTGTAATTCTTTAACCCCTTATAGGAAAAATAAAAGAAAGACACTTTTGGAAATGCCGAAACCTCAACTATCTCGTGGAATTCTGAGATAGCTAGGATAAGAAAAAAAAAAAAAAAAAGGGCGCGGATAAGGAAAGTGCTCAACTAAGGTTGTGGTTGTCGTGCGACCACATTTGGCCTTCGATCTTGGCTAGATCAAGGGCTTACTATGAGCCTGCGATTTTGTTTGGGGGCTGGAATGACGACCAGCACCCCTCAGCCAGCATAAGAAAGGCAGTTGTTCCCAACTGCCACACAGAAGCACCCGTGTTGCCGGTGTGTGACAACACACTTGAGTGTTGTTGGGCTGCTGGAGAGGCTGCCAGAGGCAACGTAGGAGGTTGGAGGTCTGCAGTGGAGCT